AGGGGGCAGGAGGGACAGGAGGCAGGAGCTGGGACGAGGAGGGGGAGGCAGGAGGAGCAGGCCTAGGAGGAGGAGGAAGCTGGATGGGGCCTCCACGAGGCCAAGACGCGAAGGCCCCACAGCCGCCGGCACAGCGCGAACCCCCCTCCGCCGCCGCCGCGGGCGCCGGCGGGCCGCTGACACCTTTCCGCCACGGCTCCTCCTCCCCCTCCTCCTCCTCCTCCTCCTCCTCCTCCTCCTCCTCCTCCTCCTCCCTCCCTCCCTCCCTCCCTCCCCTCCCTCCCCCTCCTCCCCCCCCCTCCCTCCCTCCCCCCTCCCTCCCTCCCCCCCTCCCTCCCCCCGCCCTCCCTCGCGCCGCGCGCGCGCGCAGCCGCTGCCTCATGGCCTCCTCCAGGGTCAGGTTCGCGGCCCTGGGCAGCTCCTGGCGCCAAGGGCGGGGCGCGCCCGCGGCGGGCACGGAGGGCCCGCGGGCGGGCCCGGAGAACCCCGGGCGTGGCAGGAGATATTGAAGGGGCCCCAGGACACACAAATAAGTACACACAAATAAAATGATTCCCCATATTTTTCCATATTTTCTGGGTTTCTGTCTTCCCCCCCACTTCCCATATTTTCCCATATTTTCTAGGGAATCGAGGATTAAGTGTGTCTGTGTGTTTCTTTTCCTCCTGAGATATGCCCAGGCGTAGGTCGGGCCTGTCCCCCTGCAGGGGGATTTTCGGCGAAGAATAAAAGATACCCTGAAAATGATCCAAAAGCAATCCAAGAATAGTCTGGGGACGATTGTTTGAGCACTGCTTGACCTTTTTGGTGTACTTCTGGGGCATTTTATTTGTCGTTGAAAATCGCCCTGTAGGGGGACACGCCCGACATAACCCTACAGGCGGAATTGGCGAAAATTTAAAGAGAGTCCAAACACACCCAAAAATCATCGGAGAATGCTTGAAAGCATCGCCCCAATATGGTTTGTTGACTGTATTTACAAATTTCCTCCTTTACATGGACGTGCCCGACTCAAGCCCAGGCAGCGAACGGCGTCCAGGGCCGACCGCGGCCGCGGTTGGGCAGCCGACCTTGTGTTTCAGTGGACGGCGTCCGCGGCGACAACCACAAGCGTCCGCGGCGACACCGACACGGAGGCGCCGTCGTCGGTGACAGCGACGCCTCCTCTCAAAGTGGGCAGGGGCTGCTGCTGCTGCTGCTGCTGCTGCTGCTGCTGCTGCTGCTTCTGCTGCTGCTGCTGCTCTTCCCCCCCTTTCGTCCGTAGCCACCTAAACTGAGTATCGTTTGACCGATCCCCATCCCCAGCGGCGTGGCCTGGGCCCCACTGGCCGATTTACCCCCCTAGATGGGGACATGGGCCTTTCCCTTCGGGCTTCGAGGGGTCTATCCCCGACTGGGGTGGTAATTTGGTGGGGGTCTCAAAGGGGATGGGGATGGGGATGGGGATTGGTCAAACGATACTGATCGACAGGCATTGGGCCGAGGCGGCGGGCTCACGGAAAGGCTTCCAGATCATGGCGCCGCAACAGCAGCCGCGACGGCTGGCTCTGCTGCGCCGGTCGGCCTCCGGGGTGCCGTCTCTGGACCGGGGGGGCCTCGGCGCGAAGCGCCGATCCCCGGAGGGAGAGGTCGAGCTCCCCCGGGGCCCGCAGCACTGCGCTGCAGCGAAGAGGAGAAAGGCGGGCGGGGTGGGCGCGGGAGCTGGTCTCCTGGACGCGGCCCGGCCAGCCCGCCGGGTGACGAGCCCCCGCCGCGACGCCTCCCTCGCTGGCCGTCGCTCGGACGTCCATTTCCCGTGCATTTTTCGGTTTCGTGCGTGGTTTTTTCGCCGAATGATCAAGGATGCTCCTCGATGGTCCTCGCCGAAGGAAAAATGCACACGGCCGCCGCGACGCCTCCCTCGCCCTCCAGGCTCCCCTTAAGGGCCGCCTGCCCACGTCTCGGAGCGAGACGTGGGGGTCGTCGCGAAGGGTCTGGGTCGCCAGGGGCTGGCCCGGCCGCCCCTGCCTCTCTCGGCCCCGTCTCGGGAGCTGCCCCTGCACACCCTGGGCCTGCGCATCGGCGAGAATCGCAGCGCCGGCGGTCCGGGTCCTCGTCCCTCTCCCACGCCCCACCACCCGCCTCCCAGCTTCCCACTGCCGGTCCGCCCTGCTCCCCGGCCTCATTGCCTGCGATGTCCCTGCTCCTGGGGAAACCAAAGGATACCGATACCGCTACTCCTCGGACCTCTCCCGGGGTGCATTCTGGCCAGGATTTCGAGGCGACTCAAGCGGTGGCGACGAGACCTCCGAGGAGGCCCAGAAGGGGGAAAACGGGCGCAGGGTAGAGGTAGGGGTACCTTTTCCTCCTCTGAGCTCCTCCTCATCCATCCTCAGCCTCCTGCTCCCCCCTCCTCCTCCCTATTCACACGCCCTCTCCTCCAAGTCCCTCGTCCTTCCGCGGATCTGCCACGACGATGTCTTCAATTAGTGGGCCCAGGAAACCAAGTCTCCCTTCCGAG